TACTACGACACGCTATCATAATTTAAATGTCATTTAGTCTTTAATAGGTAATTAAATATTTTTAACCAAACATATATGACATCTTTGGACAGACAATATATATTTGACTAAAGAATATTAATTTCCCCCATCATACTCACTATTCATAGAATAATTGATCCACCTTTGGGTAAATCCTTAACTTCTAGCAATAGTGAAAATTAATTTATCCATTTATTTTTCAATAATAGGCATTCTATTAGTTTCATGGATAAACTACAATTTTATGTATGCATATTTTTCATAAACATACTAGTTTGGTCACTTTGGCGACTAACAAACTATATAAACATAAATGCACACATAAAATAAATATCTAAAGATTTTATGCATGTGAATATTTCAAAACATTCTAGTTTGATCACTTTGGTGACTAACAAATTATATAAACATCAATCAATACATGCATAAAATAAACATGAATTTAATATATGTGTAAATTTAAACATTCTATATTGCTTTAAAAACACATACATCAGTTAGTATCTTTCGGTATTGCACAGTGTGGGAAGTAAGGGCAATCATTACATAATCTTCAAAATTATGGTCGAAAACTTGAGATAAAACTTTACTACCTTAATGATTGAATTATTTTTAAAGCACTAATTACTTAAAAGAATAGCTTTATCACCTGAACTGTTCAACGTAATGGGCTAAACACCTTTACAGATTTAAACATTGTATAACTAGATATGTTCACTTAGTGGCTGTAAAAGGTTAACCCAAAATAATCTTGAAAGGATTTTCACAAATTCGGGGACTTACCTTTAGAAAATATCGATAATAATATGCTTCCATGCCACTAGGTTCAAGTCCTTTAAAAAATCCTTTTTTTAAGCACAAATATAATTTTAGGCCTAGTCCGCCGTCACTAAGGTATGCACAAATTCAAAGGCAGCCGTTCTCTTTGTCGGCGTACAATACCAGAACCCATCTTTCTAATCGTTCTATTGAGGATTGAAATATACGAAATTCTTTTATGAAGATTAACTATTCAAATATCCACGCTCTGATACCACATGTAAACATACACTTTAATTTACACCGGGATCTTGAACATGATAATCTTACACAAAAATTGTTACAAAAAACATACCTGAAGCAGAAGCTATTATCGTGAAGCGGAAGCGTTAATTGAAATTGGTTTATCGCCCCTTGCCCTAGCTTTAGCCTTTAGTGATGGGAAAGAAAAATAGAAAAATACGGTAACCCTAGTGGTGGGGAGATGACCAATGTATAAAGGTTCTCACTTAATCCGGTACGTCCATCAAGTAACCGATCGGACGGATAAGATTTGCTCATTAATTAAATATTAATTACGGGCCTTAAACCTATTGGGCCACCGATATACCTAGTAAAATGTTACATGTCATGCTAGTGCTATGTGTAATGTAGCCTAGGGGGTGTTCTATGTATCATTTACTGTTGACTCGCCTTTATCATATTTCTGTTTCCAATGTCTTTCCTTATCTCCTGTTTTCACTCTTTACTCACACATATAAGCATTGGTATAGACTACATCCTCTTGTTTGGACATAAAATCTTTTGAGTTTACTAGTATCTAATACTAATGTGATTTGCTAATTGTGGCAGGGCAACATCCTTTATTTTCACTGAATATCAATATGTGGGTATCTTTATGGTTGCTTTTGCAATCTTGATCTTCTTTTTCCTCGGCTCTGTTGAAAGCTTCAGTACCAAGAGCGAGCCATGCACTTACAACAAGGAGAAGATGTGCAAGCCAGCCCTTGCAACGGCCATCTTCAGCACAATATCCTTCTTGCTTGGTGCTGTCACTTCAGTTGTTTCTGGTTTCCTTGGGATGAAAATAGCAAGGTATGCAAACTCAAGGACAACTTTGGAAGCGAGAAAAGGTGTTGGTAAAGCTTTTATTACTGCATTCAGATCTGGTGCAGTAATGTGTTTCTCCTTGCTGCCAATGGCCTCTTGGTGCTTTTTATTACAATTAATCTCTTTAAGCTATACTATGGTGATGACTGGGAGGGCCTTTTTGAGGCAATTACTGGTTATGGTCTTGGTGGATCTTCCATGGCTCTTTTTGGTAGAGTTGGTGGTGGCATTTACACCAAGGCTGCTGATGTTGGTGCTTACCTCGTAGGGAAGGTCGAAAGGAACATCCCAGAAATCCTGCTGTAGGCTACACGATTGCTTCATGTGTAAACTCTGATATCCAGAAGAGAACTTGTCTGATAATTTTATCCTTCATGTCTTTGCAGGTGATTGCTGACGATGTTGGCGATAATGTTGGGGACATTGCTGGAATGGGTTCTGATCTTTTTGGCTCGTATGCGGAATCATCTTCTGCTGCTCTTGTTGTCGCTTCCATCTCGTCTTTTGGAATTAATCATGAATTCACTGCAATGTGTTATCCCCTGCTCATAAGTTCTATGGGAATTCTTGTTTGCTTGATAACCACCCTTTTGGCTCTGACTTCTTTGAAATTAAGGCTGTCAAGGAAATTGAACCAGCCTTGAAGAACCAGCTTATTATCTCAACTGCTCTTATGACGGTAGGAATTGCAATTGTTACCTGGACTTGCCTTCCATCTTCCTTTACCATCTTCAGTTTTGGGACTCAAAAGGTTGTAAAGAACTGGTAAGTATCAAGTTCTTCTTTTGAAACTTTTTAGCTTTTTGATTGGACACCAATCTCCCAATGTGGCTGGATCAGGCCTGGCATTTTCTAATCAATCTTGTTATGTTATGTATTTCAATTTCCATTTTTTCGCCTTATGTTTTGACCTTTTTTCATTTGGTTTCTGAATTTGCGCAGTATGGTTGTCTTTTTTCAGTAGAATCAGTATTGAACAATTATCGTATGTTGTTATTGCCCAGGCAACTGTTTCTATGCGTGGCTATTGGTCTTTGGGCTGGACTTACCATTGGATTTGTCACAGAGTACTACACTAGCAATGCTTACGGGTGAAAATTAGTAGTTTGTCTTCATACTGTGATTTTCTATTCTTGTTTCGAAGATGTACTTTATTGATCGCTTCGTCTTATGTTTTTTTTCCCGTTGTTTCTATTGCAGCCCCGTCCAAGATGTAGCTGACTCCTGCAGGACTGGAGCTGCAACCAATGTTATTTTTGGTCTTGCTCTTGGCTACAAGTCTGTCATCATTCCTATCTTTGCCATTGCAATAGCTATCTTTGTCAGTTTTACTTTTGCTGCTATGTATTGTTTCGCTGTTGCTGGTCTTGGAATGTTAAGCACCATTGCTACTGGATTGGGCAATGATGCATATGGATCTATCAGTGATAATGCTGGAGGTATAGCTGAGATGGCTGGCATGAGCCACCGGATCCGTGAAAGAACTGATGCTCTTGATGCAGCTGGAAACACCACTGCTGCTATTGGAAAGGTTTGTATCTTTTTTATTTGTTTTGCTCTCCTTCCTACACATGTTGCTTGTCCATATTTACGCAAAAGCGTGGCAATAAATTTATCTGGAAATCAGAATCTTGTCACAATGATGCATGTTGTATTCGATTTCTTTTTCGTTAATCGGATTTGTGATTAGAATTTCATCTTTTGCATTCTGATAATGGAAGTTTATTCAACATTTCTGCATCAAACACCGGTGGTGCATGGGACAATGCCAAGAAGTATATTGAGGTAAAGAGTTCATATCTATGCGCTGATTATTTTATTTTATTTTTTTGATTTTTTGTTAGACAGTCTAAAGTCTTTTAACTATTGAGTCTGTGCCAGGCTGGTGCTTCGGAGCATGCAAGGACCCTTGGCCCAAAGGGTTCGGAACCCCACAAAGCTGCAGTTATTGGTGACACCATTGGTGACCCTTTGAAGGACACTTCAGGTCCATCACTCAATATCCTAATCAAGCTGATGGCAGTAGAGTCGCTTGTCTTTGCTCCATTCTTTGCCACTCATGGTGGTCTACTTTTCAAGATTTTTTAAGGAGAGAGTTGGGAGACTTAGGAGCCCTATTAGTATTTCCTTTTGTCACCAACCTTTCTACTCTGATTACCCCTAGCATGGGATTTTTGAGTTAGTTCTTAGCTAGTCAGAGGTTTTATTTTTGATGAGAAGATGATGACGACAACACAACTAGTTAATTTGTGCTAGTCTTGAGATAGAAAGTTTTTAAGTTCTCCTCATACATCAGTAGGCCTAGTTTTTCAGTTTTTTCCTGTAATGTCATTGCTCACGTTTAGTACTATGTTCTACCTTTATTCTGCTACACAGGGCAGGTTTCCAATTTTGTGCCTTTCATTTGTTAAGTAATGAAAGACAGGTTTCCAATTTTTCAGTTTTCCAGTTTTGTCTGTAATGTCATTACTCGCGTTTAGTACTACGTCCTAAACCTGAAAACAACCCCAAGAAGAAGGAATTGTTAAAGAGAAATCAAGAACTTTGAGATGGCAACATACAACAAGAAAGAACAAGAAAAGGATAACATAAGAAAACAGGCAGTGCTGGAATCCGGATGCCCGGGCTTTCCTGATACTTGACAATTTTGTGAGTTATCCTGTGTAGGGTTGCAAAATATGTACTCATGATGCTGTAGTTAAAGATATTTGGGCTTGGAAATTGAGATAAACCAAAGAAGGAAAACAAGAAAATGTTAGTAATACTTATGTGTTCTTTTCCCCTTTAGATGTGCTTATTATGCATGCATCTGCGATGATTTAACTTCAAAGGCCTCGTGAATTTGATATTTGAGACTACTACTTTCTTTCCAGTAGGGTTTGAGCAGCTTTTCTGGGAGACTGAATCCAGATTTACAAGTCGAAGGTAATGCATAAAATGTGTAGTACACTTCTGCTACCTCAAGTCCCGTGTGAAAAAATATCCAGACAAATAGGAATGTTTATTTTCCTTGATCAATCCACAACCGGATAATGAAAATCCAAACACAAATAAGGTATTTTTGGTCATTTAAACACGGTGTCCACCTGCTTAGTGTTTAGTAGATACAGTTGCGGCACAAAGTTAACATGTATGCTGCAAATACTATGCCATGTCTTACATTCAAGAACATTATAAAAACTATATGGAATGACTGTTGAGTACGAAGTAGAACTACATTTATGGAAAAGTTACTGAATTTGTTCATAAGGTACAGATAAGCAGATACATTTTGCATGTTACAGTAAACAAATGAAAATTAGAATCATATTTCTCCACGATAACCTCCAGACCCAAAGTAGTCCCTCCTTGAATTTGCAATTTGCTGGCTTCTTTGGTGGTCTAGCTTTGGACAGTCACGGATACGATGACCCAGCCCACCACAGTATGCACAACCCTTTACTCCACTTGCATTTGTGATTTCTTCTACATCTTCCATGGGATCATTGAGCTCTGCGAGGACTGGAGGGATCCTCTGCTTCGCTTCTTGCAACAAGTGTTTTAGATCAAGCAATGTTGTTTCGCTCTGGTTCTTGTTAATAAATGTGGTGGCAATTCCTGTTTTTCCACATCGTCCTGTTCGTCCAATCCTGTGCACATAGTTTTCAATTTCAGCAGGCATGTCATAGTTAATCACATGCTGAATATCAGGAAAATCCAACCCCTTTGAGGCAACATCAGTGGCAACTAAGACATCTTTCTTGCATGCTTTGAATGCCGCAATTGCATATTCTCTCTCTTCTTGATCCTTGCCTCCATGAACAGCCACAGCTTCAACTCCTTTTAAGAGCAAATACTCATGGATATCATCCACATCAGCCTTATTCTCACAGAAAACTAAAACAGGAGGCGGTGTTTTTTGCAAGCATTCAAGAAGGTAAACAATCTTGGCCTCCTGCTTCACATACTCCACTTCTTGAATCACATCAAGATTGGCTGCTCCAGCCCTGCCCACATTCACGATTACTGGTTTAACAAGCGCATTTCTTGCAAAGTTCTGAATCTTTGTGGGCATTGTAGCAGAAAATAGAAGAGTTTGTCTTTGGGCTTTGAAATGATCAAATACCTCCCTAATATCATCTTCAAAACCAAGATCGACTAATCTGTCTGCCTCATCTAACGTCAAGTATCTGCAAGAAGCAACAAGTAGGTAAGCAGACAAAATTTTCAAATAAAACAGAATCTGCAAGAATCATAAAATGTTTCACATGTACAAGATAACTTTTGGCTGGAAAATGCAGATTTGTTGTGAACAAATGTTCGTGACACATATCATTTCTTTTCCACTAAATATGTGAATCCAAGTAACTGTAGCGACAGGTAGACACAGAATAGAACAACATATTATGTGGAACACCCACCAACATAACAGCAAACAAACATGCGAGAACCAATAATGAAGGCCTATGACTCCAAATGGTGGATTAATCAGAAGTCAGTAAAAGTAACTAGTTGATTTTGAATTGACTTTTCTAAGCAACAGAATCAACTACATCAGCTAGAATGGGGGCAAAAGTTCACAGTTGCCTTTCGTTTTTTCATCAGACACTGATTTTATTTAGCTGATGTCCCCTCTAGATGAACACTCCCTATTTCTTTCGTAGTTAAAGTTAAAACAGAAAATTTGAGAGACATTCCAGATAAATATCAACTAGAGGTGTTGGTCCTCACCTGCAATTGTCAAGGTTCATTTTCTTCTTTGCTAGCAGATCTTTCAGTCTTCCAGGTGTAGCAACAACTATATGAACTCCCCTCTTCACAACATCAACCTGGGACTTCATATCAATTCCACCAATACATAGCAAAGGCCTCAACTCCGGATAACCACTCTCCCTCAGAGGTGCTATAAACTCTTCTATAACTTCATATGTCTGTCTAGCAAGCTCTCTAGATGGACAAATAATCAAGCCAAAAGGTCCTTCCCCAGGCGCAATTGGCATCATAATTTCTTCTTGCAACGCCACCATAATAAGTGGCAAAACAAAAACTAATGTCTTACCTGATCCTGTGAAAGCTATACCTATCATATCCCGACCTGATAAAATGACTGGAAGCCCCTGCACTTGGATCGGTGTTGGCTGAACGATCCCCTTTGCTTTGAGTTTCTTCAGAATTGGTTCAGGGAACCTCATGTCCTTGAAGTTCTTGATTGGTGGGGTAACATCATCCCCCTCTACGATGATATGCCACTGTTTACGAATGGCATCACAAGCTTTCTTTGAATTCCGCCTAATGGCTAATGGTGGCTTCCACCCTGTCCGCAAAGGCTCCGTATAAGTAATGCCTTTGGCTAGTTCCCTAACGGACATCAACGTCTTCTTATCAGATAAATGCTCAATCATCTCCTTCTCTTGTTGAAACACTTGTTCGGCATGACTTATCTCAGGTTGTTCTTTCTTGAGCTGAGATGCCTTTACAAGCAAACTAGGCTTAGCCTCAACGAGCTTTATTTTCTCCTCTTCCTCTTCAAATGCTTCAGATTTCCCCTTTCGTTGAAAGATTTTTTGCGCCTCAATTGCCCTGCGCTTAGCAACTGGTATATACTCAACATAATCATCTTCCTCCTCCATCTCCTACAAGCACAATACTGTATAATAAGAACATCTTAAATTACAAAAATAATCAAATCTTGTTTCTTAGTACAAAGCACCAAAGCTGATGCAACAAAATGGGTGCAATTTGTAATACACAGATACCAGAAAAGCGTGAAAAATGTCTGAAAAGCCAAAAAAGTAGTGCAATCTATGAAAGAAACAGTATGTGCAGAGGACTCAAAATTAGAATAAATTACATAATCTATACTCTAATACAGAATACAATTTGCAAAACCTCGTAAAGCGTTTACAGCAATCGAAACCAATTTTCAGTAAAACCCTAAATTTGAGGTATCCCAAATGGTAAAAATGCAATCTTTCACTAAAAAGATGAGAAAGCAAGAAGCTGCTTACCATATTTAAGTGGTCTGCCATCTGAGCAATAGCGAAAAAGTGGCTAACTGCAGAGAAACTATTTCAGGTTCGGTAATTGCAGGGAACTAAATTCCGGCGACCGGACGGAGACAACTGGTCTGTTGCTGTGTTTAAGAATTCGTTATATGATTTGATTTCCGATGGAGGATGGATGAATTCCAGGTATTTATAGGTCATATTATTGTATGTGACTGAATTTAGGAACCAAAAGATAAATAAGACTAGTAAGCCGACCTTATTTTGGTTTGGGCTATTATGACCCACAGTTGGGCAAAGTGCACGAATAGCCACTTTTGAGGACCCCTATTTAAGGTATAGCCAATGTTTATAAATTTTTGTTAGTATAATCGCTTCAAAATTAAATTCAGAGTTGCGAGTTCGAAAATTTAGCCTGAAGATGTAGTGATTTAGCTAAGAAAGAACAGAAAAGGAAAATTTGCAGAATTTAAGTAAGAAGATTAAATAACATTTTTCATTCTCCAATAGATCTTTACAAGGATGCTGCTGGGCTAAATAAGGCAAGGGTCATACAGCTGTGACCACCTAGACAACCAACGAGAAATGAACAGAGGTGGTACTATGCTAACGGATGCAAAGGGATAAGAACGGACACGTGTCTTTCAAGGATAAAAGCTACACTACTTGGATAAAACTCTAAACAAGTAAAACTCAAGGGACTTAAGTGCTAATATACTAAATTATTTTGCAATTAGCCTCTTTCCAATCAGTAACCAAGTTTTCCAATTTCACTTTCTGAACTATCCCGTTCCACAACATCCCACCTTCCTTCGAGAACCTTGATCTTCAAGGTTGAAATTCAGGGAAGTGATAAAGGAATAATCCTCCCAAGTTGCATCCTCTGGAGCCAGATTGGCCCATTGCACCAAAATTTGCGTAACAGCTTGATTGTTCTTCTTCACCATTCTCCGGTTAAGTATAGCCACTGGTTCTGCCACTAACTAGCCTTCAGGTGTGCTAAAAGGTGCTTCGTTAATGGAAAAATCTTTTGGACCCAATTTCTTCTTCAGTTGAGAAACATGAAAAACTGGGTGGATTCGAGACTCGACAGGTAATTGGAGCTCATACGCCACAGAACTAATCTTTTTGATAATCGGATAGGGACCAAAAAACTTGGAGGACAACTTTAGATTCTTTCTCACAGCCACTAAAGAATGGCGATAAGGCTGTAATTTGATGAAGACTAAATCGCCTACTTCAAAGGTGCGCTCACTTCTTTTGCTATCAGCGTATTGCTTCATTCGTGCCTGAGCCTTAATCAGATTTTCCTTCAGTTGTTTGCTTATTATCTGTCTTTCTTTCAGCAATTGATCCACGGATTCAACATTGGATTGTGCAATCAGCTCGAAGGTTGGCTGGGGTGGATCATACCCGTATAGAGCCTTGAAAGGAGTCATATTGATTGCAGACTGATTAGTCGTGTTGTACCAAAATTCTGCCATAGATAACGATTTGCCCCATTCCTTAGGCCTTTGCCCAGTCATGCATCGGAGGTAAGACTCCAAACATCAATTCAACCTTTCTGTCTGACCGTCGGTTTGGGGATGATATGACGAGCTCAATTTCAACTGAACCTGCAGGTTTTTGAAAAGTTCTTGCCAAAATAGGCTCACAAAAATTGGGTCTCTGTCAGAAACAATTGAGGACGGAACTCCATGTAATTTGCAGACATGATCAAGGAATAATTGAGCAATTTGAGTAGCATTATACGGATGAGCTAATGCAATGAAATGCGCATATTATAAGGGCAGAATTGAGTTCACTTTTTAACGATGGGCAAATATATACAATTTCGTATAGTTCACCGGTATGAATGGACCTTTTCCGTTAAAAATATAGTTTGTCTGGTTAAGAACGAAGATGTGTTTCAAAGAAGTAGACTTCCACAATCAAAACTATAAATGTCATCATATTGATCCTTTTCTTAGAAGTTATTTTTTCTTGAAATTTTCACATATTTTTCCTTCCTAGTGTAATTCTTAAATTGGTTTAGCATATTCCTTTTTTTATCATGCTATACCTTTAAACTTTAAATACCTATTCATGTAATTTTTTTCCTATGTATTACAAACCTATTGGTGGTAAGCGAAAGTATAAAGAAAGATACTGTATGGTAATTTTTTTTCAGCTAACTAGGGAAAATAGTCTTTACCACTTCTTTGTCACTTCAATGTTTATAATGCCTCTTTGTCACTTATTTTTATAAATAATAATGCCTCTTATTTAACCTGAAACTCAAATACTTCATATGTTTAATATACGTAACACTGTTCGTTTTTTCGAGGGTCAATTTAACTAAGTGTCAATCTAACAAAACAGTATTAGTACAACACAATTATGTCTCAATCAAAATTAGTTGGAATCGATTTTTTTATGTAAATTATTATTATAGTTCGTGCTATTTTCTTCTTGTTTTTATCTCTCTATTTCTTTATTACTTATGTTGTCACCTTTTTTAAGTACAAACAACTCGATTATATAGTTTGTTTGGTCAAGCTTCTCCAAACTTTCAAAGTTCAAGTGTTTGGTCAAACTTTTAGAGATAAAAAATATATTTTTGAGGAGAAGGAAACAGTTTTGTTTTGGAGAAACAGGAAAAAAGGGAGGAAAGACTCCTTCCAACAGAATCCTACCACCCATTCATTTGAAGCTTTTAACTTTTATCCAATTCATGTCAAATGCATTACGATTTCTTAAAAACCTCAGCTTTCCATCACTCTGCAGATCTCCACATTCCGCCATTTCCACAGCTCCTAATAATAAACCCATAACCTCCATGGAAGTAGAAGTCAAGCTCCGTTTACCAAACGCCGTTTCTCACCAACGCGTCTCCTCAATTCTTTCACCTTATCACCTCAAAACCCACGCCCAGGAAAACATCTTCTTCGACGGAGCCAATTCCGAACTCTCCTCCAAACTCGCCGTCCTCCGCCTCCGCTTCTACGATCTCGACGCCCAATGCATTGTTTCCCTCAAGGCTAAACCCGTCATTTCAAACGGTATAAGTCGTATAGAGGAAGATGAAGAACCACTTGACCCTTCCATTGGCCGTGCGTGTGTTTCAGACCCATGGCGGCTTTTATTGATTGATTCTTCACGGGTGATTCAAAGGGTGAGAGATAAGTATGGAATTGGGGATAAGGGTTTGGTTTGTTTGGGTGGGTTTAGGAATGTGAGAGCGGTGTATGAGTGGAAAGGATTGAAATTGGAGCTTGACGAAACGCATTATGAATTTGGAATCAATTATGAGATTGAGTGTGAGAGTTCGGATCCGGAAAGAGCTAAGGATTTGCTAGAGGAGCTTTTGAAGAGTCATGGTATTGAGTATTCCTACTCTACTGTCTCTAAATTTGCCATTTTTCGCTCTGGAAAATTGCCTCAATAAGTTTCAATATTATGTTAGCTTCTTTAGAAACTCTATATTGCGATTGATGTACGTAAATTTATAGCAAAATTTGGACTTCTCAAAAGCCTAATGGGTTCAGAGTTCTGGAAAGATTATTCAGTCCTTTTTAATGGACCATGATTAGCACATGAATCATTGTTATATTAGGAATTAGGACTATCCTAGTGAGATTACAATTAGATGGCTTTAAGAGATATTGTGCAAAGGCTGATAATATGCTATAATCAAAAAACGCCAGGGGATTTGTGCGGGCATACCGTGCTAGATAGAATTAGAAATGAAGTTATTCGGGACAAGGTGGGCGTGGCCCCTGTGGAGGACAAGATGCGGGAGGCGAGACTTAGATGGTTTAGACATGTGAGGAGGAGAGACACAGATGCACCGATGAGGAGGTGTGAGAGGTTAGTTCTAGAGGGCCTAAGGAGAGGTAGAGGTAGGCCGAAGAAGTATTGGGCAGAGGTGATCAGGCAAGATATGCCATTGCTGCAGCTCACCGAGGACATAACCATGTGGAGGTTGAGAACAAAGGTAAAGGGTTAGGATAGGTCGCCTAGCGTTGTCCTAGTCTGTAACAGTAGCTTTAGTACATGAATTAGTGTTATTTATGTATTGTCGTATTCCTTGACTTTTGTGATTACTTGTTGTTGCTTTCGTTCCGACCTTCTGATTACAATACTCATTTTTAGTTTTGTATCTTTATATTTTGCTTAGGTTTTCTAATTGGTGTGCTAGCTGCTGCCCTTCCTTTTATCTTTCCTACGCCGAGGGTCTTTCGAAAACAACCTCTTTACCTTCTTGAAGTTTGTTGTTGTTGTTCCTTAGCGCCTTGATAGATAGAGTTATCCATTAGGAGATCACAAGTCTGGTGCATCGGTTTGGACACTAAAAAGAAAATTCTTAAGCATCAGTACTTTTTCCTTTTCATTTACTAGTTAAGAGTATCCATTTTTAATGTAGATTCTGTAGTAATTAAGAATTCTGCAACTCCTAACGCATACTAGGTGATGATACAAATTTTATTGTACTGATTATATATGTGATCTTTACCAGTGAAACTAAGATTTCTAGTGCGATTCAAATGGTATAACCATTTCTGCCCTATTAGGTAAAAAATGTGGAATGAAGATGAATATGCAAAACAACATGAATAGAAAGGATAGAAGTTTTAGCATTCAAAACCAGTCTTAAACTAAAGGAACTCCCAATGCAGCAACTTGGACCTTTTGTTGTAAGTTGTAACCCATTGTATGTCATTCTTATCAACCGAGCATAGTTCTTTTTCTGGGGTTACCTGAGAACTAAGTTGGAAATTAGGTCAAGTTCCAAGAGCTAGAACTTTGCAATTGAATAGCATCGAAACAGATAAGAACCATTGACATTGACTTCATGGTAAAGATTTCACTAGAATCTTTTTCCCCACCAAATAAATCTAGGAATCATATAAAATGTACTAGTATGATCTCACTTTTTCTTCTTATATGGTGGTTGATTCTCGTCTTCCTCGTCATCATCATCATCATCCACTTCATCGTCCTCATCGTCATTTTCATCATCATCATCTTCGTTATCTGAATCATCATCACGCCCTCCATTCCCATTTGCCCCAGCATCATCTCCATCTGAAGCCTCTTCATCGTCATCACTTCCTTCATCAGAATACTCATCATCATCGTCATCATCATCGGTGTTCTCATCATCTTCGTCTTCATCATCATCATCATCCTCAGTTTCACTTGAATCCTTGGTTTCATTATCTGGTGCCATAGCTCTTTTAAGCTCACCAAAAGGAAACCTATAATGTGATTGAGCATCAAATGAACACTTCTCAAACTCTCAAACAGATAGAAAAAAAGGAACATAAATTGAGCAGGGAAGATCAGAATTTTTCAGTACCTCCTCTCCACTCCAAGAAGGTCCGAGTACAAACATAGAAACTCACTCTGAAAAATGGCATCTGATTTAGCACTTATTTATCTATGAAAGAAAGCAAAATAGTAATAACAAGAAACACCAGGACAAGATCATACACTAGTATATTGACAAGGGTGGAGCTAGAGTATCAGGTACGTATTCAGATGAACCCAGTAGTTTTGCGTAGACCCTATATTTGTGTTAAGAAATATATTAATATGTATAAATATTTAATTGTGAATCCAATGACTAAGACAAGCTATGGATTCGGTGGCAAGTCGGAACCTATAAACTTTAAATTCTAGCTCTGCTTGGTGTTACAAACTAGTCATGGAGCAGCAACTACCAAAACCATAAAGCAAGTTGACTCCAAATATTTATATCCCCAGAGATATCCGAAGCAGAATCATTAGACAACAACATATACTACCATTTTTCTAAAGAAAGTGTTGTAACATCATATTTGAAACAAAAGCAGGCAGTCTAATGTGGATAGAAAACAGCTCCAACGACACAATCCAAGAAATAGGAATGGCAGGCAGTGCGGGACGGGTTCTGTTTGAACCCGCACAATTTAAACCCGCCCGCCACGCCCCGCAACCGCAAACTCTCAAACCCGCACCGCCCCATTGCCATCCCTACCAACAAAAGAACTTCAAGTTTCCATCACTGAAACTTCTATTAAGAGAAAAGGTCTATGACTAACAATGTACCATGAAGAGAAGAGAAAGAAGAGATTTTTGAGCAGTTTCAAGCACCACTGAGCAAATCATTCTCTGCAAAGCCACATTGGTGGTGGTGGGAAATCTCTCCACCTCCATTGAATAGCTGAAGTGAGGAGGAGAAAGATTCAGTCTTGGGAAGTAATAGTGGTTGTCAGTACAAAGGGGTTCCTCAATTGGGTCAGTGGTAGTTGAGGAGGTAGGGTTTTAGGCATTTAAGGCGTATATCTGGTTTTGTGTCCAAAATTAAACAACACAACACATGACCAAATCTTGCCCGGCCCTGTCAACTGTTCAAGCCCCAAGGGATCCCATAAAAATAAATATATTCCACTTTTTGTATTTTTATAATTGTACTTATTAAAAAAAAAAACTTGTTAGCTGGTTACATGGTAAGTTAACATAACTAATGAGTACTATCATGTTTGATAGCGTTTAGTTACTTTGTACAAAAACCGGCATAACTAAGGATATGCTTGGTTGCTTTTTCTATTGGGGGTATAAGTAATTATATGAATAAGTTATACAACAAATTTGTGCAAGGTTGAATGAAAAATAACTAATACATGTATTAATCAATCAAATGACCAAAAAACCCTCATATTTACACATTTTATAATTAAAATAAAGTAAACATTTAACAAAAATAATCTTTACATTACAATTCATGCATTACTAATTTTTACATAACTAATCCCTTCATAATTAAACTATACATAATAAAATCCTGCATAACTAATTCTTACATAAATAAACTCTGCATAACTAATCCATGAATAACTAATCTCTAAATTACTAATACATGTTTAACTCTAACCGGCAACCGCGGATGGGGTTGGTAGGTCTTTTTGTTGCTAAATTTTTGAGAGGCGCACAAAGTACTTTATCTTCGCAAAATGGAACCTCCTCTTTAGTGACATTAATTTTGGATTGAAAAGTCATGTGTCTTGCACATGAGCGATTCTCAGCCTTGAAGGGCTGAATCTCGTTTTCATTAATAAAATTCTTTTTTAAAAGAAATATAACAAATGATTGCATAACAATTGATTTCGAGATCCACCTCTAACCTCTAATCTATACCCACAATTGCACGATCATTTTTACTTGCCTTCTTTGAGAGCTCAAAAGCCGTTTCCATTCCTCTTGTTCTACTTTGTTGCTCATGCTAGCCATTTTGATAAATTCTTTACTTCAATTTTCCTCAGTAATAAGTTCTTTTACTTTCGCTTATGAGTAAACCCTGGGCCATCGTGGAAATTAAGGTTGATGTATGAATAAGAGGATTATGAAACAAGCTTTTCTTTTCTATCAAAGTTGACCAAGAGGTTATGAGGGATTGAGCCGTGAAAATAGGCTCTTGCAGAAATGCAGAGTAAGACTGCGTACAATAGACCCTTCAGCTTGTTTGGATGGTTGTTACGTATCGTTTCATAATGTATCGTATCGTACTGTATCGTTTGATAAATACAATGTTTGGATAGATTGTGTCGTTTGCCATCGTTTCATGATATCATGCACTAGCAATATGAAGAATAAACTTGCAATATTATAAAGAAAAATTATGATACAGGGTAAAATTATTATATAATTAAAAAGGTAGGGTAAATGATAAAATAAAATTATTTAATAATAATGAAGGGTGAGATTGAGAGAAAAAGACAAGGTAACGACGCGACCACACCAAATCGGTCGTTACATAAATTGGCACATTTTGTCGTTATGTAACGACGGATTTAACGATACGATCAATAAAATTTAAGTAACAATCAAAACAAGCGTCGTATTTAAAGTAACAATACGATATAATAAAATGGGTAACAACCATCCAAACAAGCTGTAAGTTGCATCAACAACAACAGTTACATGTGTTATAGTAAGATTTAATCGAATAAAGCTGATATACATATATATACACACACACACACACACACACACACACACACACACACATCTTAATATAGTATTATATTCGATATAATATAGCTTATATATATAAGCTATATCCGATATATTATACTATACTATATATATATATATATATATATGTCACGACCCAAACCCCGATCCGGTCGTGATGGCGCCTCTCGTGAAGACAAGGCCAGCCANGTTTCATGATATCATGCACCAGCAATATGAATAATAAACTTGCAATATTATAAAGAAAAATTATGATACAGGGTAAAATTATTATATAAAAAGGTAGGGTAAATGATAAAATAAAATTATTTACTAATAATGAAGAGTGAGATTGAGAGAAAAAGACAAGGTAACGACGCGACCACACCAAATCGGTCGTAACATAAAGTTGTACATTTCGTCGTTATGTAACGACGAATTTAAAAATATAAGTAACAATCAAAACAAACATCGTATTTATTAAAGTACGGCTATTTCCCTTACTCCGCACATAGCTGGAGCTTACTGCACCGGACTTTTTTTTTTTTTTTTTTTGCGAAAAGAAATTCAAATCGAAGGTTACTTTTTTCACATGAGCTATTTTCTCAAATTCCAAGCTCAAATAATAATGATGAATCATGAGAGGCATGCAAATGTTGTAAACTTTAGGAACAAACCATTGCAAAATCATTACGTTGTGCTCTCTGAAAAGCATTGTTGTTTTTGGGATCTTTCAAGAAATCACATTATAGGAATAGTCGTAAGCTCTGATTAAGTTAAAAAGGGATATTATGTGCGTTAAGAACCTAAGAAACATCTTGTCTTTCAATCAGTTAGTGCAGAGTGCCATTGCAAGGACACAACCTCTCTGCCCTCCCCGCATATGGGTAAGGTCTGCGTATATACTATCCTTCCTAAACTCTTGTTATGAGAATTCACTAAGTCTGTTGTTGTTAAATGCAGAGTGCCATTATACTTGCGTAGCATGAATATATAACAAATTAAAATTAGTTGATGGAGTTTTGTTTAGGTATGTATTGTAGACATCCACATTGATGTTATTAACATATTGGAAATTGGTAAGGACGATTGCACGCAAAACCTGATTTAGCAAATTAATTTGAGTCAAAGCTCATTATCAATAATATATGATTAATCAAACCTACACTTTTGTACCTTATGGAGAAAGCAGATTCTCGGTCAAAGATCCGGAAAAGCTTTTTCCATATACCCACACTGTATTCCAAGCACACAAATTAGTGTAGAGCGAGATAAAAGAAGAAATCAAAGTCTTTAAACAAGAAAATTGATGCACAAATTCAGCTTAGAGTTTGCACACACATCGAACCTTGGGATCTAAATTCTATGGGTTCAACTTTTGAGTTTATCACTGAATCCATTATAATCTTAAAGCAATGGGTTCATCTCTACTATTTATTTTAATTCTAATAAATTTTGGCTCATGTTGTTCCTTAGAGGTTTAGGTTTCTCTCTGATACTATTAGAAAAGGTTCTCCTTGCATTTTGGAGTGACTAATCACCAGGTTCGGCTCAATATATTTTGTGGCCTAAAACCAAATATGAATATGAGGTCTCTATCTTAATTCAATATATTTTTAAAGAAAAAAAGAAGAAGAATTAACCCAAATAGCCACCCACTTAATCTCTTAAATTAAAAATAGCTGGTGGAAGTATAATATATATATGATTCATATATAATATGTATAATTATGTATTGTCAATGTATAATCTATGTATATTAACTAGAAAAGGTAAACATTGAATCTGACTGACTATTTGTATAACGATCCCCATACATCAAATTCCTGCAATTAATAACTATTACTGAAATATGAGGGGCTCAAAATTGGGGGGTTCCCTTAGTGGCTTATGCATTAGAGCCGGCCCTGCTAATCACTAATCCATTGAGCAAAGGCAAAAGAAAAGCAAAAGCAGAGTAGGGCTAATAACCCCAATATATACCCAAGCTTTTTCCACGCCGTGATTGATGGCAATATAACTCTCCAACATTTCTTATTTCTCACTCTTTGAAAAAGTCCCTATTCACACTTGCCAAATTTTGGAGGGAACATGGCCTTGAAATAGTGAATACCCCACAAATCATATTCAACATCTTCATCCTTTTTATTTTAGTCATTCTCAAGTTTCAACTACCACCCCAACAAAGTAATAGCCACACACTAACGAAAAAGCAAACTCCAAATGTCCAATTTCTCATCATTTCTTTAGCCTTTAGCTTTTCTTTTCCTTCAATCTCTTAACTTTCAGCTTTATAAATATTTCCAAAACACATCTATTTTCCTTTCAAAAAACACAACAAAACAAATTAGCCATGGATTGGTTTTCTTGGCTGTCCAAAACAGAACTAGAGCCATCACTTGTTTATGAATATGGCCTAGCATTTGCTCATAACGAGCTAGAACAAGACGACATTCCTTACTTCAACCATGAATTTCTCCAAAGTATGGGAATTTCTATAGCCAAACACAGACTAGAAATTCTCAAACTTGTCAAGAAAGAGAGAGGAGCTGTTCCAAATTCCATGTCAAAGTTTCTCCTTGTAATGAAACGTACCAAGAAACGGTTTTCCAAGTATTTTAGGACATGGGTTCTTCGTCGCGACGAATCAACACTTGCACTTGTGCCTAGAAGAAGTTACAGTTCAAGAGGGAAGAGAACAATGCTTAAGATGAAGAGAAACAAGAGTAGTGTTGTAGCAGCACCAAAGCAGAATACTTTATTGCTTACAAATGGTAGTCCTTTATTCATGTCTAGTTCAAGAATTAATAGTTTTTCGAGTCCAATGGTTCATGATCTACGTAGTGATGAGAAGATGGAGCTAGATTATGGTGATTATTGGACATCCTCAATCAGGTGGGATTCAATGTTTCAGAATCTCAAACCTACTTAAATTTTTTTGTTTTGTTTTATGTACTTAAAAACTTGAACGGTGAGAGATGGATTTTTTATTCTCCCACCAATCTTTTTTCTGTTTTGTAGTTTCTCAGGTTTTGGTTTGGGTGTTCTAATTAGGAATTTTGGTCAGTGTTTTTTGTATTAGTGGCGGGGATAAGCAGAATTCCACTGATTGTGTTGATTTGATGAGGATCTGTATCATTAATGAGATCGTCACCATATGGTTATGTGTGAAATATGCAGATTGTTTAATTCTGAAAATTTCGTTTTATCCATTAGTTTATTGTAAGCATAGTGATTACACTATATAATTACGGAATCAGTTTTTATCTATAAAATAACGAACTTAAATTATTTTAAAGTATCATAAGATACGATAGTCGATCTCTTTAACCTTTTCCCAATTGTTTTCCTACTTTTGTCTTTATCAATAGTTCTAAAATCTAGATTGAGATAACATTTGTATTTTTTCTTTGAATTATAGTACAGTAGTTATTGATCTTTAGTTTTAACTTTTAAGCATTGCCAATGTAAAGATATTTACAAATAAGTGCAGTTCAGAATTCAGATTAATGTAACAAAACTACTTACTTTATTTTCCAGGTTACTAATTCAAGACGCTTGCGTGCAGTTGCCTCACAAGTAAGATAGTGATTTAATTTAAAAAATATATGAGAATGAACGGACCTTGAATACTACGGTGATAAGAGTGTATACCACTTTTGAAAGTAAATCATAAGTTAAAGAAAGACGAGGGGCAAATATTTAAGAACATCTCTTTGATTTATGAACTATAAAATTCAATATAAGATTGGAAAAAGGGGGAAACAAAAGACAGTGAATTATCCAGCAGAAAATATGTTAAGAAAGAAACTCATGGTTACAATTAGCAATTCTGGAATACGATGTCTAAATCGCCCGAACTCACAAAAATGGAATAGAGATCAATATGAATCATCAATAGCTGCGGCCCCAGTATGTCCATTTCTTAGCAGGTTTACCCGAGGCAAAGCACAATGTACCTACGATGTAGCAGGAGAAAAAGATAATATTAGATTATGGCAGTAAAATTCAATTTTCAATTAACAGTACCACCAAAACAGCTAAGTCTACAAGTATACATTGGTGACGCTTATTTTAACTTAGCTGCGTTTTAGGCAATAGTTACACATACTGCAAGGATAAATAGTACCTTCAGGCAGCTCAGGCTGGTCAAATGGAGAACAAAGAGTCTTTGCTGCACCCATCTCCCCTTTTGTTCGTGCCTTCACATCTTTCTCGACATCCTATTAGAAAATATCAGAGTTCATGTGAAACGAATGCGAACAGGAAATGACTATCTAGCTGGGAACAAATTGATCACCTCAATTTGAGGAATGTGCATTAGGAATAACAAACTCACTATGCAAATTAATATTATTATCACAAGAGACGGAGAACCTGCACTCACCATGAAACAGAGTGCTATGGAAGGATTTCTTAGTTTAAGTTTGTTCTCATTTTCATGATTTTTGGCTGGGAAAAGGATGTGGCATTTTTAACAGTGTAGCCAAAATAGTCTATTCACTAGCTCAGGGAAAACATTAACTGCAACTAGGATACAATCTTTTCCTTTCTCATAAAAGTGAGCACATGATTTGTCCAAACCAGACATAGGAACATCTATGCTTCATTAATTTTTCTGGAAAATGGAAGTGAGTTTCTTGAAGATGGTTAAGGTGTAACTCTAGTTAGAGCTTAATGAGTTTTAAACCCTTGAGACCATCTGCATAAGGAAAACTAGTGATCAGATCTGACCAATAAAGCATTGGTACTAAGTCTGTTTATTACCATATCTTTCAGACAGGGATCATGAATCTCAAGTTATTTCTAGATTTAATTTGATATAATCTATCTAGAAGTTCAATGGAGTTCGATCATGACCAATTATCCACTGATTCCCCGGCCCAATATGTCGCAGTTCAAGATCAAACTTTTCTGATGCAGAGACTGACCACGTGAAACTCCCTCTGTTTTCCCAGCCCAACTTTGAAGAGGAAATTAAAAGATTCATCTTATATGCAACAAGTTTGATAGGATTTTACCTCCTCATCGCACCAAGGAGCTAAGATCAATTTCTTTTGGCTTAGTGCTTCAGCAAATTCATCCCAGGTCTTTACAACCTGAACACATGCATCCCGCTTTTGTTTTGCAACATCAAATAGATTTTGTTGGATAGAGGCGAGCACATCTTTTACTTGTTCGGCTAAATTGGCCACAGGAATATCAGTTTTGGCTCCATTGTCACGTCGAACAGCTCGTACCTGGGAAAGTTATTTCAGAGCTTTGGATAAAAAAAAACAATAAAATAAAAAACCGCATTTTACTTGGCTGCTTTCAGAAAACAAGCAATTAACACCATAACACACAACATTTCTACTTTTTCCTTTCATGAACAACTAACTCAGCGGAGAGCAAAATATAATCCGTACCTGATTATTTGCAAGATCTTTTGGTCCTATTTCAATCCTAAGAGGAACCCCTTTCATTTCCCAGTGAGAATATTTCCAGCCAGGTGAGTAGTTGTCTCTGTAGTCTGCCTCAGCACGAATACCTGATTCGTTCAAGTTTTTGACAGTGGTAGCACAGGCGTCAAAGATGCCTTGAGTATTAGCATCCTTGTATGGCACAGGAATAACAATTACTTGTGTTGCTGCAACTTTAGGTGGTAAGACCAGGCCTTTATCATCTCCATGAACCATGATCATCACACCAATCTGTCACAGTACCAGATAAAAGAAGGGAGAGTTAGATTGACATCTGAACTACCAACTGCACAATACAGAGTTTCTCAATGGGGAATACCCACCGTTCTGGTAGTATAGGCCCAGGAATTCTGCCAGACCATAGCCTTCTCTCCCTTCTCGTTTTCAAAGTTTATCTCAAACATTTTTGCAAAATTCTGGCCTAAGCAGTGTGAAGTTGCACCTTGGATACCACGACCAGTATTAGGGATAAAAGCCTAGCAAGTAAAGCCATGAACCATGTAAAAGAATAATAGATAAGAACAAGTTCACCAGCAGTAAAAGGAACTGCCAAAATAATGTCTCTGAAAGAAGTAACTTGTATACCTCTACTGTAGTCGTATAGAGTCCACCAGCAAACTTTTCAAGCTCACTTTTCTTCCCCTTACTCACTGGAACAGCTAAGAATTCTTCATATATACGTCTATACAACTCCAAGATATCAAGAACCTGAAAAGATTGACAGAACATCAGCATTTATTAAAAACTAGTAAAGATAGAAGCTGACACATCTAAAAATTGATACTTTTCTAGGACAAATCAAGGGCACCTCAGTTTCAAGCAACTAATTCTCTCAAAAGCTCTTTAATACAGTAAAACTTGCTAAGACAAGAAAAGAAAATCACCGTGAAGGATGCATAAGTCAAAGGGAACAATTAAGACTTCTCATTGACATTGGGAGCATGATAGATGATAACAATCTCCAAGTACTCTTCAATTGCTGTAGTAGCACCACCAAGTTTCAAAGGTAAGCCATGCTTAATAAGGAGAACAATCCTGGAAGCTAAGAACTGTACAACTATGCACCTACAAAAAGGCATGTTTCCCTCATGGTTGAACTCACATTTCCCAAAGTTTCAGCCAGAAGCCCAATTTTGCACAACAGCAGTCAAAATTTTCCCACAAGCCCAATTTTGGCCATGAGACAAATCCTATAACAGCCCCAATTCTGATAGACAGAGGGGCCATACAGATACATGAAAATGGCTTATTTGCATGTCGTGATATTCGTCCCTAATTCTACAGTAATATACATCGGGACAAATTTCCATAATACAATTAAGTTAAATATGTTTTCTCCACAACTTGTCAGCTCACATTTCCCTTTTGGATTATCCCAACATAGTTTCCATCTTCTCAAAAAGTTAAAAGGGTCTACTTTTCCTTCCAGTATAATTGTTCCTCCAATTCAAAACCTGAATGAAAAGGGTAATGTATAACCCTCATTTGAAACCGAAACAAGAGCAAAAAATTTACATCCTAGCTTCAACATCATTATCATCTTCATTTCAAGACAGGTAGCGGGCACCGGTGTCATCTCATGTCACGAGATTCGCAGATGTCATCCCATGTCAAGATAGGATAGCAGGCTGGTCCATGCAATTCGGATTAATTGTTCACTAAAATAGGATTTGCTTGTCCTAGAAGTGAAGTATCTCATAGTGCTGCTTCAGCTTAAAAAAAGGTCTCATACTTCTCCACACCATCCCAAAGAGAATGTGCAAATACCAATTTTTAATGATTAGTATTAACAATAGATGAAACCTCATTCGACACTATATCCAAACATGACGCCCATAAGCCTCGTTGTTGATGCAAACAGCTCCAGAATTAATTTTGCATCATTTAACAAATGGAAGCATAGGACAAAGGACGAGTAGGAATAAACAGAAATAATTTTACTAATTACTTTCAGTTAACATCCACTGCTTTCGAGCTACATAGTATGTACTACGTATAGCATTTTTAATGAAGCTTAAGAAATGGTTCAGTTTTTGTCTGAAAAGTTAAATGACTCAATTGCATACTCTAACATATAACCGATACCTCTGCATCTGCCTCCTCCTTAGTTGCAAAAGCAGTGTGTCCTTCTTGCCAGAGAAACTCACGGCTCCTGAGTAAGGACATATGTAAAAGTGTTACACACAGCTTTAAGATCTCAAAAGAAAAGAGAATGAATAAATGGTTGATGTTTTATACTGTATAAGATAAACACGAGGAGTAGCAGCAGAAAGGAGATAACAACTAGGTCCCTCCTCCCCACAAAGATATAATGTAGGATTCTTTTTAGCTTAAAAAAGATGCAAAACAAATGGTTGCAGTCAGAGCTCATCAACTTTCTGATGAGAGATAGGTGAAAAATGAACTCGGAAAGTGAACCTGATAAAGGGGGTTGGGTTGCTAAACTCCCATCGCACAACGTTGCACCACTGATTAAGTCTCAAGGGCAAGTCACGATGTCCCCTTATCCACTTAGAGAAATAAGGATACATCACCGTTTCACTCGTTGGTCGAATTGCAATGGGCACTTCAAGATCAGACTCTCCAGATTTTGTAACCCAAGCAACCTGTAGAATGATGATAATCGGTTATAGCATAAAGTTGATGAACAAATAATTTTAGATTGCTTAAGAGGATGCTACTAACTGAAGACCATGATTGAAGTTGCCGTAATTGAAATTAACAACGCGACTGAAGGAAGTGTCTTACATCTAGGAATTATATAACGCACAAATTGTGATAACTTTCTAACTATATGATGCGTTTGAAGGAGAAAAGAAAAAAGATGGAAAATCCCTTCCATTTTTACCATTATCCCTTGTTGAAAGAAGAATAGGAGCAGCAGCTACAACTTATATACATAAATGGAAGATATAAGCTAATTTCACAAATCAAGATGTAAGAAAACGAAAGGACAGGAAACAGAAAGGAAACACTGAGGTATAAAAGAAACAACAAGCCTTCTCAGTGCTTCACAGACTGGAAGAAAACAAACTTGAGTTTGCCAACAAGAGCCAAGCCTCACCTCAGGAGCAAATCCCTCTATGTGGTCCTTTTCCTTTTGAAGAACACCAGGAGACACAAAAAGAGGGAAGTATGAGTTCTTTATCTTCATCTTCTTAATTTCAGCATCAAAAAAGGTCTGGAAACAAAGAATTAAGATGCATTGTAAATACAACAAAAAGGGGGTGAGAAATGATCTGAAATTGGTCCAAGAAGAAGACGTAGATAACATCTCCTTTTCAAAACAATTGTTAGCATAGCTGACATGCAAAAAAGAACTCAATCCAAAATAAGGCTGGCACCAACATCACTTTGAGGGATATACTTACTTGCAATATCTCCCAAATGGACATTGCCCATGGCCGTAAGATATAACAGCCAGAAATGTCATAGTACTCAATCATTTCACCGCTGACAACAACCTACATTTATTAGTTAGGAGAAGTCAGGGATCATGATATGTTATAACTTATATAAAGGAACTTACAAATGCAATAAGACATTAGGTACATAGAAAGAGCAGAAATCTTAACAAATGCATCATGCAAACGAGCATGACAAATACCAAAGTAAGTAGCTGTTGAAGACATATGTGAGATTGAGCTCTTCACTTATAGTAAGGTTTTTTTTTTTTTTTTTAGGGGGGGGGGGGGGGGGGATGTAACTTTTGAAAAAAAAATGGATTGCTAAAAGTATCTGGAAACTCATATTCCAACTCTTTTTTTCACAAAGCAAAATAACCTCAGAAGCACCCATGAATATCACATTTAGCATCTCCAATAGTTGAATATTCCAATCTTACCTCAGAATACCACTCCCCGAAGTTCTCATCTTTTTTGGAAGAGAGACCAAGACCTGTCTCTTTCTTGACTTCTTTCTTTTTTCCCTCTGAACAAAGGGCAAGACAGATACATTACAAAGTGCAAACTGAAAATTCTGAAGAGTGAGAAAAGGAAGTTTGCATAAAAAGCAGTCAACTAATGAGAATTACTTACTATTTGAATCTTTACCAGCCATGGCAGCAAACACCTCAAACTGTCGAACAATAGCTAAATATGTTCCCTCCCAATAGCCAGGATACTGTTAACAGCAAAACAAGGGCAACAATTGATCAAGTTCAACAAATATCAGCTTGTGCAAGTAGCCATTATCATCTATTTTTTGTTATTCATAATTTCATTGATCATACAATTCAAGAATATGGAAGTTTTGCACCCTTTTTTCCTCTTATCAAGATTTTCATCCGGATCTGCTTTCCAACTATTTTAACACTATAAAATTTATGAATTACTCAATTACAATAGAACTCGCATACACATACGAAAAACAGAAGCTGCTAGCTGCAATAATCTAAATTGTAATAATGCCAATATGCCCGAAAAGTAGTTTGAAGAAGGTGTTAGTTCATCAGGTTTAAACTTCTAAAACAGGTATGAGACTTTTAAAAAATCATGACAAGAACGATAAATATGCATATTTTGGTATACTCGATAAGAATAGCTATAATGGGACATAAAATAAGGCTTAATATAATGTAACACAACACCCATCAACATCAAATTAAATTCAATCTAATCGGAAAAAGAGATAGGGCTAACAATTTTAGACTGACCTTGGCTACGAAGAGAGGCGAAAACGACGTCGGAAAGAGGAGGGTTTGAGGATGAAGGAACCGGCGCAGCTGTGGAAGGAGACGGAGAGTGTCAACGCTAGGAAAATGAGACACTGCTCTTTATCCTGTTTGACTTGTGAGTAGAATTCAGATACACCCCTCTATTGGAATTACAGAATGAATTCACCCTACCAGACGGTAACCATGTTGAATCTCCTCTTTTTCTTGTCTTACTGCTTGTTCTATTTTATACTAATAAAAATATCAATTAAATTAACTGTGATCGGGCTTGTACGAGCATATTAGAACCTATTTTTTCAATAAATTTTAATTGTCATCTTATTTAACAATATAATACTCTATTAAATTAAAGATATTTATATAGTCATTGGATAATTTTTTTATTCCTTTTATTTTTTTTATTCTATTATCCAATATTTAGTAATTTTACATTGTTAATATAAATTTATTAGCATATTACTTTATTTAATATTTTTGTCTGCTCGTTTTCTTTTAGTAATATAAGAGAAGATGTATATTTTATTAATTTTGTAATATTTTTTATTTTTTATTTTATTCTGTTGTTGTCAATAATATTATCTGTATTTTAATGAATAAAATTCTATTAAATTAAAGGGACTTATATAGTCATCGAATAACTTTTTTGTTATGTATATTTCTTTATTATACCATCCAATATTTAATATAATTGCATTGTTAGAAGAAATTTTGTATTAGCATATTAATTTGTTTAATACTTTGTCTATTACTTTTTTTGTAATATAATAGAAGATATATATTTATTACTCTTGAAATATTTTTTATTTTAAATTTTATCTTAATGTTCTCAATAATATTCTCTGACTTTTAATGAATAAAATCTCTATTAAATTAAAGATACTTGTACGGTCATTGAATAACTTTTTTGTTCTATATTTTGATTTATTATGCTTATCCAATATTTAGTATTTTTACATTGTTAATAAATAAAATTATTATATTACCTTGTTTAATATACCCCTCTACTACTTTCTTTTTGCAATGTAATAGAAGATATATATATATATATATATATATATATATATATATATATATATATATATATATATATATATATATATATATATNCCTTATGATGTGGTAGATTGAGTTGAGTTGTTTGAAGAATTGCTTGGAATGTATTAAGGACACAACGGAGTTAAGTTATGTTAAGGCTAAACCTTTCTTTCATTTTGGCATGATCCCATAACTACATGTGTTTGATAACGAGACATAAAGAGAAGTTCATATTCCTGAATTTATGTACATTTTTCTAGTCTCATAAGTTACACCATTCTCCTTTACCGGAACTTCATATTCAGTTTAGTTTTGTCTTCTGTCGGCCAAGAGAGCAGGGAGTCTATATATATATATATATATATATATATATATATATTATTACTCTTCAAAAAAAATTTATTTTAAATTTGATTCTATTGTTCTCAATAACATTATCTGAATTATAATGAATAAAATCTATTAAATTAAAGAGAGTTGTAAAGTCATTGAATAACTTTTTTATTTTGTGTTTTTCTTTATTATATTTTCTAATATTTAGTATTATTGCATTATTAATAGAAATTTTTATTAGCATATTACTTTGTTTAATATTTTTGTCTGCTACTTTCTTTTTATAATATAATAGAACTATATAATTTATTACTCTTGAGATATTTTTTTATTTTACATTTTATCCTATTTTTTTCAATAATATTATCTAAATTTAATAAATAAAATCTCTATTAAATTAAAGAGACTTTATAGACATCAATTAACTTTATTGTTCTGTATTTTCTTTATTATATTATCCAATATTTAGTATTATTGCATTGTCAATAGAAACTTTTATTAGCATATTACTTTATTTAAAATTTTGTGTGCTAATTTCTTTTTATAATATAATAGAAGATATATATTTTTTATTTTTATTTTACTCTATTATTCGCAATAATATTTTCTGAGTAAATAAAATTTTATTTGTATAAAGAAAAACAAAAATTATTAAAAAAACAAAGAAATTTTGAATTGGCAGTTTTTTAATTTTCTGTAATTTTAGTTTTTTATTATAAAATAATTTAAAACCTCCAACTTGAAACTACTTCCAATTTGAATGGAATTTTTTAAATTTTCATTTTTTATTAAGAAATATTTTATTTGATTATTGTATAGATATTTAAATTCAAAAACAATAACCAATAACAATTATTAACCAAATAACTAATTATTAACTACTTATGCAATGTGGCTTTTTTCTAGGCTGCCATGTGGCTTAAGGAGAGGGTGTGTTTTCCTCTCCTTTTAATAATATATAGATAAGCGTTATTTTCTTTTTAATCTGTTCCGAAATACTTTATAATATTTTAAAAATTTTAAAGTCTAATTTTTTTTAAATCCTTTGTAACATATTTATAATATTGGTAACAAAAGTATTTTTAGAAATAGGGAAATATTAAGCATATTTAATACTATAAATTCATGGGTACTTTTTATATGATCACAGCCACAGGTCTTTGTTACTTTAAACTTTTTATCTTGTTTTACATTTCATATAAAATGAAGCTAAGGTGTTCATAATGAACAAAAGAATGATAGTGATGAATATGGTTAGTAATACAAGTATTAATAATGCTGGGATTAGTTATGCTTGTATTAGTTATGTTAAAATTATTTCTTATTCACGGTTTGGTTTAGTGTATTAAAGGATTGCATAATTTCTAAAAAAAAAAGTTGTTTACAGAAATACCCTCCAAAATATGGCGGAAGGTATTTGAACTAGGTTTTGAGGGATGTTTAAGCAAGTATTAAAAACTAAGAGAAAATAAACGACGCACTTTGTATTATACTTAGAAAAGTTAAGTAATTTTGTTTGTTACAACATTATATTTGTTCAATGACTTTTCTGACACTTCAGTAAAATAATCTTATTTTTTTTTTTACAAAAAATAGTTTAATAACTTTGGTGTAATAAAATAAAAGTTGAGTAAGCATCTATGACAATTGTTCATCAGTCATAAAAAAAAAGTGAAAAGGAAGAAAAGTAATAAAGAATGATCAACAATGAAAATTAAACGAAATCCAGCAACCCTGGTGGCTGATGAGGAAAATTCTGAAGTTGTTAGGAATCGCATAGGAAAGCATTCCAACCAAAATCATGTGGATTTGGTTTAACAAATGAGTATATATGGTTGTTGACTATTGAATTATTCATTTCCAAACCTTTTATCCTAATTTCTCATTCTTTTCCTTTTTGTTTTATTTGGAAAATGACAACAGTTATGCAAGAAAATTTCGGCTACATTGACCAAGAAGTCCATAACATAACCTTCTTTAAGCCGTGACTGATGGCAAAGACACACACACACACACACACACCCCCCCCCCCAACCCCTTACACCTCACCCCACAGAAAAAGAAAACTCTTTATTAGGCTTCATTTTTGTAAGTATAAATAATCTGATCAAATTCTGATCTATTATTGCAAAGTATAAATTGGAGTCTTAACTATCTCACCGATCCTTCCTCTTTAATTTGGCCATCCATTTCTTTAAATTGTGTTTGGCCAACATTTATCACTAGCTACTACGTGGTCATGGACTGGTTTTCATGGCTCTCCAAAACTAACCTCGACCCTTCTCTTGTATATGAATATGCCCTTATTTTTGCACACAATGAGCTTGTACAAGATGACATAGCTTACTTCAACCATGAATTTCTGCAAAGTATGGGCATTTCTGTAGCCAAACATAGGCTAGAAATACTTAAACTTGCTAAGAAGGAGAAGAGTAGAAGCTCAAGAAATCATATATTATGGCTTATTTTAGCCATCAAGCAAACAAAGAAACTTTTCACTAAGCGCATGAAAATGTGGACTAGTCGATCAAATTCAAGTACTTTTGCCTTAGTGTGGTTGAGAAATTACAGTTCAAGATGGAAGGAAGCCATGTTGAAGAAGAATAAGAGGCGTTCGACAGCAGCTAAACAGGAAAGTCCTATTGTTGTACCAGATCAAAGAACATTGATGCTCACAAATGGTAGTCCATTTTTGGTTCGAGATTTTTCTGATGCCTTAATTAGCAGTTTTTCAAGCTCTACTTTTTGAGGGGTTTTGTAATGAAGAGATATTGGATGAGATTGATGGAGAGATTAAGTGGGATGCAATGTTTCAAGACTTGAAACCGACTTGAGTATGTATTAATTGAACTCTTCACTTTAGATTTACTTGAACTGTATTAATTAATTACTCAAAATTTGATCCTGGATTAACTGCTTGTCCTAATTACTGCTTTGAAATTCCTTACTATTGGGACTGGTCTGCCCTCTCTGTGGTTGCACAGAGGCATACTTTGGAGTAAATACAGCATACTATTAAATTGTAGGGCCAATTGGAGGCGTACGCTACTAATTCTATAGGAGTCTCTTGCATGTGTTAGTCTTGTTTCCCTTGGTTCATGCCCACCTTTTCTTACCAAAAAAAAAGGTATGACAAAATCTGCAGGATCCCATACAAATTAGGTGCCAAAAATGCATATATGGCCTTTATTTTTGCACCTATATAAAGCTTCATGCCGTGGAATAAGAGCCTCTTTTGGGTTGTGGAGATAGTTCAAAAAATTAACCACCAAAGGATGTGGTGCAGTGGATGGGACTGCTCTTCCCTTAATCAGAGGTCTCGAGTTCGAGCCCTGGGTATGGAAAAATCCTTGGTAGAGAGCGCTTCCCCCCGAATGGGGCCCTACGCGGCGCGAATCCGGATATAGTCGGGCTCCAATGCGGGTGCCGGACACCGGGTGGGAAACCAAAAAAAAAGTTCAAAAAATTAAATCACCGCCCTGCGTGATTTTTTAATTTAAATTTTGAACCTGCCCCGCCCGCCCCGCAACCGCATGTTAGGATTTTCTCAATTCTAGATTGTGATTTATAAACAATCTATATAAATCCTTTCAATTATTCAGAACCGTGGAACTATATGATTTTCACATAAAATAGAGATACAATAACTTCAATTAAGAAAACTTACCTGAATCCATGATGTGTTTTCTTAATAAAATTGAGCGGAAGTCTTCTTCAGAGTTGTTGTTCTTGAGAAAATCGGTACTTCTCTCTCTTTTCCTTGACTATGTTCTTTTCAGAATAGAATAGATGGAGTACGCTATTCTTCCTTTTAATAGGCAGAGAGAGGGACCATCAGTTAATTCCCACTTTCCATCAAAGTGGGTTAGTGAGGAGTTATAACCATAATTAACTTCCCCCACTTTCCATCAAAGTGGGTTAGTGGGGAGTTATGACCATAATTAACTTCCCCTAATTTTATCCAAATATTAATTTAACAAAATATATTTATATTAAACCAAAATACTCACGTGGGCCATATTTTACATTCTCCCACTTGGTGCACGTGATGTTACTCACTTAATGGTTTAATAAATATCTCAATCATTATGTGCACAATAAAATGTTAAATTCTCATTCATTGAAAACATCACTCGTTGTTATTGAATAAGTAAACTTATATGAGTCATGGCGGTTGTACATCACTTACTCGATATAGTCCCTTCCATGTACTACAATATGAGTCTATTACCCAATACAACATGTAAAAGTAATACTTAATTGGTCCAATGTTAATGCTTAGAATATCTTTATCTAAGCCTGAACCTGTCATCATTATTCTCAATATTATGTATACAAGAGAAAACAGGTATAGAATACCAAAAACATATGTTTAAATGAGCTCAAAGTGTCAATTTCATAAACATAATAAAGTCTTTAGATAAATTCATACATTGTTATTAAGAATGCCCATTCTTTCAACATGTTCAACAAATATTTTGGGTGGTAATCCTTTCGTCAAAGGATCGGCAATCATAAGTTTAGTGCTAATATCTTCAATTGACACTTTATGTTTCTGGACTTCTTCTTTGACGGCAAAGTATTTCACTTCCATATGCTTAGCACCCTTTGAATACTTGTCGTTCTTAGAGAAAAAGACTGCTGCGGAATTATCACAATAAATTTTCAGCGGCCTGGCAATATTGTCGACTAGTCCAAGTCCTGAAATAAAGTTCCGTAGCCAATTAGCCTGAACTGTAGCCTCAAAGCATGCCACAAATTTAGCTTCCATAGTGGACGCAGCTATGACAGACTGCTTCGCACTCTTCCATGATATTGCTCCTCCGGCTAACAGGAACAAATAACCAAATGTAGATTTTCTTGTATCCATACAACCAGCATAATTTGAATCTGAATATCCAATCACGTCAAGATGATCAGATCTTCTATAAGTGAGCATATAATCTTTTGTTCCTTGCAAGTAACGCAACACTTTCTTTGCAGCATTCCAGTGGTCCATCCCTGGATTACTTTGATATCTTCTCAGCATTCCAACAGCAAAACTGATGTCTGGTCTTGTACATGTCTGGGCATACATTAAGCTCCCAACTATAGATGCATAATGAATATCTTTCATTTGAATATGTTCCAATTCATTCTTTGGACATTGATTGAGACTAAATTTATCCCCTTTCTGAATTGAAACCGGACTTGATAAGCATTTTTCCACTCTAAATCATTCTAACACTTTATTAATATAGGCTTTCTGAGACAATCCCAATAATCCTAGTGATCTATTTCGGAATATTTCTATCCCGATCACATAGGATGTCTCTCCCATATCTTTCATCTCAAAGTTATTAGAATGGAATTTCTTGGTGTCATACATCATACCAAGATCATTAGTAGCAAGCAAGATGTCATCAACATACAAGACTAACATAATAAACTTACTCCCACTGACCTTCAGATATATACACCGATCAACAATGTTTTCTTTAAATCCAAAGGTGACAACAGTTTCGTTAAATTTAAGATACCACTGTCGGGAAGCTTGTTTAAGTCCGTATATTGATTTCTTAAGTTTACACACCATGTGTTCCTTTCCTTTAATGGCAAACCCCTCTAGTTGATCCATATAAACTTCTTCCTCTAAATTTCCATTTAAAAATGCGGTTTTTACATCCATTTGATGTAGCTCTAAATCATAATGAGCTACTAAAGCCATTATAATTCTGAGTGAATCCTTTCTAGAGACCGGTGAAAATGTCTCTTTATAGTCAATGCCATCTTTCTGAGTGAAACCTTTGGCAACAAGTCTGGCCTTGTGACGTTCAATGTTGCCATTCGAGTCGCGTTTGGTCTTAAAGACCCATTTACACCCGACTCTTTTGCAACCTTCCGGTAATTCAACAAGGTCCCAAACTTTATCTCGTCACGGACTCAACATACTCCTAACCATGTCCATTAATGTACGATTACGCCTTTCAGCCACACCATTTTGTTGTGGAGTGCCAGGCATTGAGTATTGAGCACATATACCACGTTTTTCAAGGAATTTAGCAAATGGACCAGGGTGTTGTCCAGTTTCGTCATATCTTCCATAATACTCACCACTTCCGTCTGACCTGATTATTTTCACCTTTCTGTCTAGTTGTCTTTCAACCTCATTAATAAATACCTCTAAGGCATTCACTGCTTGAGATTTTTCATGCAACAAATAGACATATCCATAATGTGAAAAGTCATCAATAAAGGTGATAAAATATCTTTCCTTACTGAAAGAAGTGACATCAAAAGGACCACATATATCGGTGTGTATAATTTCAAGAAGCTGAGTGCTTCTTGTGGCTCTTTTCTTTGTGTGTTTTGTTTGTTTTCCTTTAATACAAACCACAAAAATATTAAGGTTCGTAAAATCTAAATGTGGAAGGATTTCATTCTTCACTAGCCTTTCCAGTCTTTCTTTAGATATGTGACCTAAACGTTTATGCCACAAGTAAGCTGAATGTTCATTCACCAAACTACGTTTGGTTCCAACATTATGATGCAGAGTTAGGAGGGTTTCGGCATACAGATTATCAAGGTTCAATTTGTATAGATTATGCTTAAACAAACTGAAACATCCATTGCCAAAATTTAAAAAATATCCAGCTTTATCTAACATAGACAAGAAAATTAAATTTCTTGAAAGAGAAGGTACATAAAAAGTTTCAAATAAGTCTAAGTGACGCCCAGTATCTAGGATTAAACGATAAGTCCCGACAGCTTCAACTGGAGCCTTCACTCTATTCCCCATGTACACAAATCATTCATTCCGATTTATGGTCTGGGTTGTAAGGAATCCCTGCATCGTATGAGAAACATGAACAGTAGAACCAGAGTCAATCCACCAAGTATTATAAGGAACTTCAGTTAAATTTGATTCGAGACACGTAAAAGCACAAGGCTTACCTTTCTTCTCGAACCATGCATTACATTTCAGGCAATCTTTCTGAAAGTGTCCAGGTTTTCCACAGAAACGACACTTATCATTCTTGTGTTCCTTCTTACGTACTTGAGAAGAGGACTCATTGACATTATGTTGCCTCTGCTTAACTTTTCCATGTTTCTTTCCTTTCTTTCTAGCTCCTTGATGGCCTACAAGATTAATGGAGTGGGTTCCTTGATTCTTCAACCTTGTTTCCTCATGAACCAGCATACAGTGCAGTTCATGCACGTTCCATTTGTCTTTCATGGTGTTGTAGTTCATTTGGAAAGGGCCATACTCAGATGGTAATGAGTTAATAATGAATTGAACAAGGAGATTCTCATCCACTTCCATTCCCAAAGTCTTAAGTCTTGCTGCTATATTTGTCATTTCAATGACATGCTCATGCATGGTACGCGAACCATCAAATTTTATGGTGGTTAAAGTACCCATTAGTGTCCCAGCAAGAGACTTATTAGCAGTTTGAGAGCATTCTTCCACAAGTTTCAGAAGTTCTTTCGCGCTTTCAGTTTTGGGAAGAGTAGTCTTAGTGTTGCCCGCAATATTCATTCGTATAAACATTAGGCTTAATCTGTTAGACCTGTCCCAGTGCTTAAAGTAGGACCTTTCTTCAGTACTACTAGTTTCAGTAATAGCTGTTGGTCTCTCAGTATAAAGTGCAATATCAAGATCTAAAACTCCAAGATGGAATTTTATCTGTTTGCGCCAATCTGAGAAGTTGAGTCCGTTAAAGGTCGTAACAGAAGCGGAGTGCGAATGAAGAGCAAGTGCTACAAATAAAATATGCCCATTCATTAATGCTTTGAGTTAAAATTAAATATATTATTAAATTTAGAATGGTTTATGTTTTACTCTTAAATGTATATTGATGTCCACCTTTGGGCGTAACGCAAAATACATTTTTTTTAACATAATGATGCTTAAAATAAATTTTACA